AAAACCGAAAGAATAACGTCAATTTGAATTTGGTTTGCACTTTCTTTGCAGTTTGCACTTCCAGCAAATATGTTTTTATAAAAAAAAATGCGGTTTGTACATAGCCACATCACACATGTGTGATGTGTCATGGTGATGTGCTAAATACATATTGTTCTTATTTATATAGCCTTCTTCTAATACAAATGATATTTTTACATTTTATTTTAGTACATAATTGAGATTGGATTCCATACGTTTTAACGTAAAAAGATAAACTGCTCACAACCACGAGACACCGTGACACGTTACACGAAGGAACGTTTAATTTTATCTAAAAAGTAATTGATTCGACGTTTTTATGACGATCCGGTGATCCACTGTATTTTAAATATTGTCTATTGGTGTACTGATAACACAAATATTAATGCTAAATATATATTAGCCTATTGTGCACATTTGTACTAATCTAAAACAATATTGGCCTCTTTTTAAAAATATATATAAGTGTATTCTAGTAACTAGAGATAATACCAGTAACCAGATACGTATGTATTCTATTGGCTTCTTATGTACTCTTATCACTGAGTCCTAGGTTAATGTTTTTGTCTTGCGCCAATCGATTTCTATTGTTCAATTTTCAGAAGGCTGTTCTGTGAAGCCTGTCTCTTTCCTGATTTTACAATTTACAGTCGTTGTCACGAAAAAAAAAGTATGGGTTCAACCGTCACTTGACTGAAGACTCACTGGTCTCTCAGTGCCGACTGCCGACTCAGTGGTCACTGTGTAATCAAGGTGAATTAATATTGTAGAGTATCACACACATACATGATACCGTTACCATCATGATGAGACTATTCAGAATATAGTTTATGATGGCCTGTGTGTATCGCGGAAAGCATCTTACAACACGGATAAAATGTATCGTGAAGTTGCATCTCTTCAGGTACAAAGAAAATCCAGATATAGAGGAGATAGGACAAGTTTCGCCCTGTTGCAGTAAAGTTGATATTGTGTTACTGCTATAGTCACAATATAATTATATTAAAATAACAACGTATTAAGCTATACAGCGATTTGTACGTGTTTTCAGGGGTTCAACCTTCATACATGCTATGTAGGACATAGCTGTGGAAGCTTTGGGCACCTTTATTCAGGCTTTTGTATTGTCTGAAATTCTTGCTGAGTTTCGGGATATTGTATAAGTGCAACACCAATCTCCACACCAGGCTTAACGAAACATAGTTTATTTTGTACCGCAAGACCAACGAGTGCCGGTCAATAACGAGCATAGCAGTAACCGGCAAGTCAGGGGATATTGATAGATTGATGAAATAATTAAATTGAACTTCTGCATGGTTCGACGACGTTTAATTTCGAATGCTTGTGCTTCTTCTTATTGGCCTTCGCTTCAATCATGATAAGTTTTATACCCATGCACAACCGAGTTGAATTGCGTTTACTATATACACTTTGTTTATTTATATGAGTCCTTTCGGCGTCACGCTTGTACTTCCTATATCTCCATACACGATCACAACCACTTTCCGTGACGATCCTGATATCCAGTCAAGATGAAGGAAACACGGTGCCAGAGGTATTTATTACATACTGCCTAACCCCACAATAATTTGGTAACCTTGGCAACGCATCACAACTCTCTCTATACCCATGAGATATGATATTACCCATAGCCTCGAAAATTTAAGTCATCCAGATACATATTACAGCCCACCAGCGCATGGTAGCAGCACCAAACCGTAGCTACCGTGGGCATGTCAGCACGCATAACTTATCAAACCCTATACACAGGGTGTTCCTATAGATGAACCACGATATTCACAAGCGACGCCATTCCTAAGCAACGGCAAGGTAGGCGCCAGTCTTGATCAAACAGGCTGCGGGGAATTCAAATATAACTCGATTGGGCACAGTACGTTGCCAGCAACGCATTCTGGATCACGGTTGGGACTTCATTTGTTCTTCCTGAACTTCCTCTTCAGATGGTCGGATATGTTTTCTTTGAGCCAGGTTTTATCATGCGGCACGTAGCCACACCCGTCATCGAATTCTTGGAACGTCAACAGCGCCACGTCTGGTAGATCATCGATGAACCTATATATATATAGAGCGAGAGAGAGAAAGAGGCAAAATGCAGTTAGTAATAAGCCGAGAGAAAAGCGAC